AGTCCTGCCCTGTGACTACCACACGAGACCGATCTTCATGCTAGCCTCCAGATCTTCGAGAGAGAGTTTTCGCGGGTGCACGTGCGTAAGTCACGCTGTGCTTTGTTAATCCTTCATCGCTATCTGAAGCTTCTCAGACAAAAAGATTTTGTTTTCGGTTCGCTGGAGAACTGTGTTTTTCGATATGCTCTACCGAGCAACATGGTGCGCGGTCGCTGTCATGAACATGCACATGAAACTCGAGACATCCGCCCGGCAAGCCGTCAGCTCCAGATATAGCGCAAGCTCTCTGACCATTCCTATCCCGCTTTGATCATGGCCAACAACTCCCAGGGTCTGTTCGGAGCTCTCGCCGCGGAGGCACCCACCACAGACGAGCGCCGTGTAAAACTTTTCCCGTGGGACTCCTTGTCCAGTCAGCTCTACGAGCCCTTCGGAGAAAGCTCCCTGGATGATCTTAGCTTGCAGCAGATTTGGACCGCTGCGAGCAAAGGCAACAAGAAGGCCAAATATCACAGCCATCTATGCGCAGAGCTTGCTACTGACGCATGGCACGTCGGTGCAGGAATCTCACAAACCTGTGAAATCCTGCTAGCCGCGATCAAGCACTGGCAAAGCCAGGACATGCAGCGACTCGTCCGCCCCGAGGTCTACGCCAAAGTGAATGAGGAGATCACCGTCCTTGCCCCAGCCTTGAAAACGTTGCACGTCGGCAAGGGATCCCAGGAGACTCGGGACACCGGAACCCTGCGGCAGGCCAAGAAACAGAAGATCGCCGGCGGCGTCATCGCAACGCCTACGGAGGATCAGGTCATTGAGGCTGCGAAGATCCTGCACAAATGGCTCGCACAAGAGCAAAGTGCTCTACGCTCTGCACTTTTCATCCTGGCCGGGAAGAATACGTACTACGCAGCCCATGCCGCGGAGGTGATGGCTCGTGCAACGGTTGCACACAAGCCACTGACGGCTGAACACATTGTAATCGCTATGACCGCTCGGATGTCGAAGATTCCCGAGCCACAAACTAGTGCAGCTAGTTCGGATGCGACAGGGCTGTTCGGCCTCTGAGCTAGCAGTGCTGCTGCGGTGAAGCATTTGAGACAGACTCCATATCACTACACGTTTGTCCAAAATGTATATGCTATCTGATAATACTAAGATGATGTTCCACAATGTCCTTGTTACCGAATAGTCTGTGGAGACTGCTTCGACTTGGAAACCACAGCCGGCGGGAAGTTGTAGCACAGTCCTGCCCTGTAAGGTACCAACGCTAATTTTGCTGCTAGCCTATCCAGAACAAATCTTCAAGAGGGGAGTTTGTGCAAGTGCAGGTGCGTAAGTCACGTTGCACTCTGCTGCTGCCCTTATCGCTATCTGAAGCCTCGCACAGATTGAACAAAGCACCGATGCCTTTGCAGCCTAACTTGGAAAGCCAGTCCGAGTTCCAGCCAGTTGGAAGGACTTCCTTGCGAGCTTGCCAAGACTTCTGCCTGCAATACAGCCTGCATGCAAAGTCAACCGTTTTGGTCTGATTGGCTGTCGTCTGCCAGCGTCTGTCCCCAAGCTCCAGTGACCGGTGACCAGTTCCCTTGCGAGACTTAGCCGCCATGAACGCAGGTTTGATCAATCTCGGGAACTCCTGCTTCGTGAATGCTGGCCTGCAGGCAGTGCTTGGCACCCCGCCCTTGCGAAAGGGGATTCAAGAGGGTGTCAGCGCCATGGAGACGAGTCTGGCGGAGTTGTACAACGCCCTCGAGACCAGCCGCCGGCCACTCAAGCCGCTGAAGATCACGGAGAAGTTCTACCACGGCCGCCAAGAAGATGCAAGCGAATTTCTTATTCGCTTGCTCGACGAGTGCCCGAGTGCGTCTCGACCACTTCAGGGCAAGGAAGTGGGTGTGCTACGCTGCGTCCACTGCGGCTACCAACGCTGCCTGGCCGAGGAGAACTTCCTCACCATGCAGCTGCCGCTGGTAGATATGACCTCCATCCAGCAGGCCTTGGACGCGTATCTCCGAAGCAGCACCATTCACGAGGACATCGAAGATTGGTGCTGCCGCGGTGAGGCTTGCACCGCCGCCGGACGTGCTCAGGATCCTCCGCGACACGGTCTTCTCATCGAGAAGTGGCCGGACACCTTGCTGCTCTCTCTCAACCGATGGGACTCTGTCCATGGCCTTCTTTCGCAAGCACTGCTATGCGAGAACGTGCTCGTCGCAGGCGAGAATATCTACGAGCTTCAAGCTGTGATCACCCACATTGGAGATCTGCCGACGCAAGGGCACTATGTCGCGTACGCTCGCAGCGAGGACTACTTCATCAAATACGACGACCACCGAGTATCTCGCGCAGCTCGCCATCAGACTTTTTCTTCTACCCCAGGTGAAAAGGTGTATGTGGTCATCTACACGAAAAAACAGCAGGCCGAAGCACGGGAGGAGCCAGCCATGCTCCCAGAATCGCGGAGA